TAATGTTGAATTAACAGAATATATGTAAAAAAAAAATGTGACATTGTCATCCTGATCTGTTTGTGTGTGTGTGATTTTATAAATATATCAAATTACTCGTCATAGTGTTTAGTTTGCTTGTCGAATACATTTCTAACCCCCCCCCCCCTTTCTGTTTTATTACAACAAACAAATGAATAACCCTACTTCAAGTGTTTTGATGTTTTTGTTACAATTTTAGAAAACCAAACACTATATTTGACGTACGTAAAATTATAAACTCCCAAGTTGGCGGGCAGTTCATGAACAACTTTGTATAGAATCATAAATTAATAAATATCTGATCAGAAATGAGAAAAACAAATTGAAACATGATTACTTGTAAACATTTAGAGTTTGTATTAAGCAATTTTAAGAACTTTTTATTCGTAATTTTTATGGATTCTATCAATAAGGAATTATTCCATCAAACCATGGAAAAACTTCTGATTTCCGACATTCTAACACAACCACAAATAGATCGGCCGCTCCTGCGGCCAATAAAGAAAAAAAGCACAAAATGTTTATATGTTGTTTCTTTATTCTCAGTTTAAGTTACTTGGTAATTAATTTAATAAAAATTAATATTTTATATTTTACTATTAATTAATTATCTTAATACTTTGTATATTAATAATCTTTATACAGTCTGTATTGTTGTAATTAATATGTTGTTCACTCACACTCGAGACACGAGACAATAAACTGTATTGAACCTCAACCTTGTCGTATTTTAAGGGTCAAAAAGGAATCATCCAAGGGACCACGGACATAGGTGTTGCTGGGGGCACCTATGGCACCATCCCAGAACAATTCCCCAGGCGCCAGAAGCGCGCGGTAATACGAGACAGAAAAAAGTTCAGCTTCCCTTCATGTCAGCATCCAGTGTGTGGAAGGTGTGGAAATGTGCTTTGTTGCAACCACTATTGAAATAATGACCACTATTGAATTAAATATTTCAATAGTGGCTGAGAGTGCATTTCAAAACCCAACACACAGTGCATCCTAATGTTTTATGTTTCGCGTTCAATTAGAAGTGCTACAGATGTCACAGAATTGGACATTATTCTAGGATGTGCTTCACACAGATTAAAGTTTCAAAGCCAAAAAGTGATGACAAAGGATCAGTTGCTAATTACATATTGTATAGCAGGAAAAAGACTCGGAACATGAAACGACTGTGCAAATAATCGAAAATAAACAAATACTGCGAGAACTGCCATTGAGTTCTCTTAGAGACAATCTGTTTCATACATTATGTGATACATCGCACAATCTACGAACTGAGCTGAAAAATTTTAAATTTTAACTATGCATGTCAAATAAAAAGAAGAAGAACATGACGGTTAAATTAACAAAAGCCGAATCTGAAATCGAAAAACTTCGAAATGTTCTAAAAATTTCCTTTTTCTCGAAATCATAAACTTTTAAATAAAACTTGTCTATAATTTTAGTTAGAAAAATAAAATAATGTAAGATAAAAAGATTGATAATTATTGCATGATTAAATAAAATTGTGTCAAAATTTAAAATCATTAAAATGTGACCGTCACACAACGTTAAGAGATAAAATAATTACATGAAAATATAAATAATAGAATAGAAAGCTATTTACGCACATGTACGTATACCCCATATGTACTAAGTTCAGCAGTGTTTGTTATCCAATCGCAACGGAGATGGATATACATGTAGTAACGCACGCTTGTGAGTGTGTATGTGGCCATGTGAGTTAATATGTCCTTGTGTGCGTAACGGAAGTGACGTAATTTGCACCGGGCTCGATGTCGAATGGTGATTTGATCTGTATTTATTCATCTATTGCGTATTCTAATAAAAAATAAATAATTTTTTTTTAATTTAAACGAGGGGATAATAAAACAACAATCAGTATTTTGCTTTTTCCAAGTGTAAATATTGAGTTGTGTGCAACCTGGTTCGAAATTTTCGCCAACATCATTCATTATTCATATAGTTATCTACAGTGAAGTCGCCAATGACGGGTTGTCTCAGTTTCGTGTCACTCGTATGCATTTTATGCTTACATATAGGCGCTTGGTTTCAGGATGGTCTATTTTGTGTACTATTGGGTTTTTCTAGACGCATTAAAATAAAAATAGCTGAAATTAGCACGTTTTAAAAATATCACATTACTGTATATAAAAAGAGTGAAGGTATGACAGTTGCCATCTTGGATTTCAGGGAGTGCCACTTAATTTTAATCACTCGGAGCTCCTCGGGTGGCTCCGCTTGTACCTTGCACACTAACCTCGGACGTAAACGGTGTTCTACCACTTTGCTGATAGTGTCATGTGATCGTACTTGAAATTCCTCCAAATGTTATACCTTTGAAGTCTGAGTTACTTTGTGGCACGCCCAATGTTCTTGCTTTCAAAGACTACTAACATAATGTTGTAATTAAAACCAATATGCAAGGAAGAATGAGACAAGTTAGAAAAAAACTTTTTGAAGCGAAATATGAAATGAGTTACAAGGCAGTTTCCGGCGGAGAAATGTATCGATTTGCACGATGCATTTTCCTCCACCAATCACATCCGAGGTTTGTATGGAGCGTAGCAGAGTCAGCCGAGGATTGCCGATTGCATTTTACATAGTCAGACATCGTCACTTCTGTTGCTCTCAGTTTCAATGCTAGGTATCGAGGACGTTTTGGTTTTGGTTTCAGTCATTTTTGGAGCTAGATCTCACCCGAATAGGAAAAGTGTAGATATAGAATATTAAAATCATGTGTGAACCGAGGCATCCCCTTAAATCCACTCTTTTTACACGTATATGCAGTAATATGATATTTTTTAAAACATGCTAATTTCAGCGATTTTTGATTTTTATTTTAATGCATGTATTCAGAAAACACCTAGAAAAACACATTAAACACAAAATGCACCATCCTGAAACCAAAGCGTCTAATATGGTTCACATGACATGGAACATATCAAAACTCAACATGTTAAATATTTAAAACCCAGTGGCAACTTTGTATTTACTTAAAATTATAAAAATATTCTCAAGGCAATATATATATATATATATATATATATATATATATATATATATATATATATATATATATATATATATATATATATATATATATATATATCCAAAGTCTCTTCTTTGTAATAGAATAAAAACACTTTAAAACACTTTTTGAAATATTTCAACCGTTACCGGCCTTCATCAGTCATGAATCAAAAAGTGTTTTAAAGTGTTTTTATTATATATATATATATATATATATATATATATATATATATATATATATATATATATATATATATATATATATATATTGCCTTGAGAATATTTTTATAATTTTAAGTAAATACAAAGTTGCCACTGGGTTTTAAATATTTAACATGTTATATATATATAAAAGAAGTAAAATTGTGTTTCCCTTAAAAAAAACAAACTTTTTATCCCCTCGCAACAAAGTTGGAGGGGATATAGTGCATAACGGAAGTTACGCAAGTAATAATTCATATCAGGATCGATATATGCTCTTGTGCGAGGGGATGCTGACCGCTTTGCGCGGTGTCCTTGTTATGAGATAGACAATAAGTAGGCGTCAATGAGAACAATTTACATCCTTATTTTCTGAAAAATACAAATAATTTGCAACCTGGCGAGGATAATTTCAAACTTAGTTTATCAACTGTTAAAGGATGATAAATTCATTTTTGTGAATTTGGTGTGCCATATTTATGCCTCGAGTAGCCATTTAAAAAAAGAAAAAAAGGTGTGTCGTCATTGAAACATATCGTGCGAATTAAGTGAAGCGATAATAATCAGTACCTAGCAATCATTGGTGCTCGACTAGGAGAGAAAATACAATTTAATTATTTCTTGTTGACAAGCTAATCTGTGATATTTACAAAAACAACGTTTCTGTTCTGGCATTCCGAAATGTCTTCAATTATAAACCACAAACATCGAAGTTTAACATTTTACAAAATAAAGATTAAAAAGAGTATTGAAGATTCGCTGCTTTAATTGATTATAGCAGTTTTACAACCAGCATACATTCTGTTGTAATTGTTATTTTAACTCAGAACTAAATTCTCAGAAGTAAAATGATTTGAAATAATTTTATCTATATACAAGATTTACAATGTGCATTAAATTACCAACATTTTCAGAACTCTAAATTTGTGCACATATAAAAACGAAACACAAACTTTTCAAAAAAAAAAAAAAATAATAATAATAATAATAAAATGAAATAAATAAATAAGTAATAATTAAATAAAACAAATAATAAAAAAAAAACACAACACCCCCCCCCCCCAAAAAAAAACCCCAAAACAAAACAAAAACAAAACAAAACAAACAAACAAAAAAAAAAAAAACAAAAATACAAAACAAAAAAAAATCGAAATTAGAGCTATTTTGTCACATTAAATGAATGCAATTTTTACCTATCTGTTCTTAGAGGTACCCATGACCAAGTTTTAGACAAAAAGAAATTCATGTTAAAATGTTCGTAGTATCTATACGTATAGCCACTTACCACGATGATGTGTATGATACACACACACATGAGATGTTTTATGTTTTCATATAGAGTATATAAGCAAATTGTACATGCCGCATTTTTTCTTTCTCTTTTTTGTTTCTTTTTTTTAAAATATATATTTTTTCATTGATGTAGATGTGTTGTAATTGTTGTTTGTTTATCAAATCTTCAATGGAGGAAATAAAGATTGAATGAAAGAAAGGTGATCTCACACATTGTAACTATTTAAAAAGTGTTATTACATGAGGCTGAACTTTTGTTACAAAAAATGTCTATCAAAATGATCTGTACTCGTAGATATGTACTATAAACGTAAGACCCTGTCCTCGGCGTAATGTTTTCTCGTGTACACGGATACCGACAGCGTAATCGATGTCAAGTCGCCGTGCTGCCTCATTCATGTTTTTACTTCCTATCCGTGATACCACGGTAAGACTGGTGGACATAGAGAAGTGCGAGTGTTAAAAACCTTCCTAATGACAATGAATATTTTCATAATTTTTGGAATGTTTTTACTAGGTGAGTTTCTAAATTTTGCTGGTCATGTGTTGCAAATGACATTATCAATTGTCTTCTGGAAGATTTTTATATGGTAAATATTATTGATTTAATTTTCCATGCTTTTATCAGAGTATTGTGATATACAATATATGTAACAAGGACACGGAAAGATTGTTACTTATAATGACTAATTTAAAAATCATTTCTGAAAGCTTTCCTGTCAGTTAGTTACATGTATGTATTTAAACGGATATTGTAAAGAAATAATCGTAATTCTCTGGGGAAACAAAGTAAATTTTGTAATCGAGCAAGCTTATGTTTGCGATGTAGATTAGATAAAACATGACTGTTCTTTTATTTTATTTTATTTATTTATTATTATTATTATCATTATTATTATTTTTTTCCGAAATCGAAAAAAATCTTTTTTTATATGAACTTTAACGGAAAAAATATTATTAGTCGCTATTGCTTACCCGAATCTTAATAAGCTTCTTTTTTCACGAAAATGATTACTGTTCTCAATATGAAAGGGGAAAATAAGTCTATTTTAAAAAAAGTAAAAAAAAAATTGCATATTTAAGTTAAAAAAAAAGAGGCTTTTATAATTTTTTTTTTTTACATACAAATGTACATCCTAATTCAACCCGAATGTTCCTAGTCGTGAGAAACATATAGTTATCAGTCTGGCATCTCCGCTCTGTACCTCATCTTTTTATTTATGTAATTTTGTGTAAGACTGACAAATTTATGTATAAAATCAATAGATAAATGCTGTTTGCTCATTTACGCAATTGGTGTCCCTGGCAGGTGTCGCAGAAGGCCTCGTATGTTACACTTAATAGCCGACATGAGTTCTTACACACTGTTGGAGATCTATTGCTTTAATTAACACTCGATTTCAATTATTGATGACAATTCACTGTTTACTTGTTCTACATAAACCTAAATTACATTAATAACCTACAGTTTTCTACCGAGAATGCCCACTTCTACTTGTACATACCTCTGTACGAAGACATTTATGTATTATTTACCATATATTATTTTTTTTCTTATAAAATATAGATAAAGCGGTAAAAATTATGCTTAAATATGATCATTTTCCCAAATCGCAAGGAATTTGAATTCGTATTTAGTGCAAGCAGTAAGAAGAGCGATGTAAAATTCATCTGTCACCAAACGAGTGCCATTCATCAAGACGTCGATTAGAGCAATCAGGCCTCATTATATAGTATTACTAGCATATCATACTAAATAATCTGTCATTTTATATAGATTTCTGTGGAAAAATGATTTGAAACGAGTAATTTTATGATAAAACCTCCGATGATTGTATATGCTGGTAAATTACGAAAAACGTGCTTATGTTTCTTGCACTACTATGCAGTCAAAACCACGTGAATAATATTTCTTACCAACCACCGTTAGGTTAACTTGGTGTTTCAGTATACAATCTCTCTAATTTTAAGAAAAAGATTATGATTCGTAACCCGGGAGAGTCTGAGGATATAGTTTCCTGATGATATTCAGCTGCTCATGTTTACTCGTCCCGGCTTCCGGAGCATCCCCTTTATGCTATCGAGGGGATTTTTTGCTGTATATACATTTACTCATTACAAACAGGAAATTTCCAAGTAAAGACACTGAGCCAGAATACACCTCTTGATGAACATTTCTTTCTTGTATTTCCTATTTGCAATACGTTTAATTACGCTGTTAGAAAAATTGCTTCATTACATAAGTGGAAGGTTATAAACTCGTGTAGTTAAATTGACCCTTAAATCAACTGAAGATCCCTTGATATTTTCTTTAAAAATATTTTTTAAAACGGATGGTTTTGAAAAAAAAAAAAAATACATTCTCGTTTATGTCAAAGCAGCTACTAATGACAATAGCTTTCTTTTCATTCAATATTATAAAATGAGACTCAACACCTGCAAAACTGCGTCTTTTTCATATAAAATTCCATAATACGTCCTCTAGATCTGCTATAGTAGAGCTTTATAATTAATTATCGTTTCACTTTTGATTCTCGTGGACCTTAAGCTTTGGAAGCCTTCTCCACAGCATTCTTTTTAAATCAAGCCCTTACACATGTACTGCAGTATAAGGTTTGCAAACTTTTTGAAGGTAAAGGGACCATGAAAATATTACAAAATCTGTTAGACACTAATACATGAATTTACATCATGTAGTCTATTTTATGTTTAACTTTTTCTTTGTGTGTGTGTGTGTGTGTGTGTGTTTTTTTTTTTTTTTTTTTTTTTTTTTTTTTTTTTTTTTTTTGCAAATTCAATCAATTTAAATTGTTGCCATAAATTTTGTTCATTTTCGACAATCAAAGCAAATCGAAGCTAAAATGATTTACAATATAATATTTCAAATTTTGAAATCTGCTTTTATTTCCTAAATGGTGAATGTAATGTCGTTTTCAAGTCTATAAAATGTGATTTGGTCTTTAGTTTGTTTACCTTATCATACCCTGCAGGATCGACCGAGTACACGTGTACCTTACAATGTCATTCATTGACAGGTGACCCCTAAAGCTGTAAAAATTTATGTATGGTTAGTCAGATGCAAGTTTCAATGAAAAAATGGCTTTGGTTGAGAAAAGCCAGCTGTTCTTAAATAATATTTCAAAATTATTTAACTCTACTAGACAATGTAGACCTAGATTAATATTAAGGTTTTACAATTTTTCAAAACGAGTAAATAACTGAAAATATCGTTATTAATTTCTTTTATGCTGAATCTGACCTGAGTCCCTTTTATCACGATAAACTAACACGAGTCGTGTTAAAATTTCCCTCGATCTTTCAAAGCACACAAATATTTGAAAGAACAGAAAACCTTGCACGAGGAAAGCTGATGTAACAGAAATGTGTATTGATTTTTTTGGTTTCCCCCTTAGGCAGAAACATAAACAACTTTTGATGTTTCAAAGCCAATTAAGATGTTAAAAACTTGTCCTGATGTAAAAAGCATGCATTATCACACCGAAAAAGGTCCAGACGATTTAAGCCCGGAAATTTACATCGCACTCAATTATCTTTACAAGCGCAAAACGCTAGCACACACATGGAAGCAGATTTTAATTAGAGCATCATGGCAATATGAACAAAATCTTTCTATAGAAGCACAAAACATAAGACCCCTTTCTATTGCATATTCCATATACAAGTGAAATCACTCTTGTTAAGGGCATTTTAAATTCTCTTACAATGGCTTATTGCATTTATTTCGACAGGTGCCTTTGCAGTTGATGTGCCAGAACAGATTCACATTAGCTTTGGCGACCGTTCGGATATCATTGTGGTCATGTGGTCTTGCAAATCACACATCACATGTCACGTGGTCTTCGGTTCTTCAGCCTTTCACATGATCAATAAGTCCAACAGTGAAATATCGACATTAAATTTAGACAATTGGAATGCATTGAAAATAATTCACAGAGCTGAGCTTTGGGTAAGAATTTTTTAATTATTAAATGTTTATGTGATTTCTTGGGCTATATAGTACGTACTGGGCCATATATAGAGTCATATTTTTACATGATGATTTTGCGAAGCCTATTATAGAATACTTTGCAATCTTTTAATATTCTGCAACATCATGTATATGGTTGTTCTTCAGGGACTTTCCCCTGGCAGACGATACTTCTATCAGGTCCATTGTTCCCAGCAGAATGGAGAGAAGACAAACAGTTCGGTATTTTCTTTCAAGACTCCAGATAGCGAAACGGTAAATTATCATGTTGTAAATTTTGCATTTACCTCCACCTAGTTAGTTCAAAATTAACAAGATAAAATTTTTCTCCATTTGAGACATACACAGTATACCGTATTAGCAAATTATTTTTAGCGAGGATTCAATATTAACGAGAGTGTTGAGGTCACTTAAATTGAATATCATGAATAATTTATTATGTTTGGAGGTAAGAGGTAAAAGGTGAAAATCTAGTAAACAAAAGAACAGGGACCCCTGGAAATACCGGAGGTAGGATCTGATGACTTAGGGAAGTAAGCATCCCCTGTCGACCAGTCACACCCGCTGTGAGCCCTAGCTATGTATTGATCAGGTAGACGGACTTACTTTTCCTGACGATATAAAATCGCTAAAATTTCTGTGAAAAATCATACGTTTTTGAAAAACAAATCGTTAAATTTGCGTCTCGCTAAAAATTCCATTTCTTCTTTGCTCCTGAACTTTAGAAGACAATCTGCATGAATTTTGAGAATGCTTATAAAGTCCTCACCAAGCTGCAAAATTTTCATCACTCAAGCCCAGGCCATTTTCGGATGGGACCAAAGGGGTCATGGCCTAAGAAACCCATGATACTCAGGTGACGTCAAGGCCCATGGGCCTCTTGTGCAAAAACTGCTGGGATTGAGAGGGGGAAAACATAAAAAATATGAAATTGTTGGTTATAGAGAAAAAGGATATATACTCTCTTTATATACTCATAAAAAAATCACGATTATTATTCGTCTTTCAATAAAAACATGTTTCATGTTTCGTATTTACCTATCGATAATAAAGAAAATAAGATAATAAGAAAATTATGGAGAAAATGGCTTCTGGGTTTGTATGTCAATTCAGAATTCACAAAATTTGATTCTGGACTGGACTGCAGAAGCTTCTACCGATCATGTCATATCCTCAGTTTTCCCATCATATTGTAGAAAAGAGAAGCCAGTTTTCTCTTGTATGGTGATCTTGGAGCAGTGGGTGGTATCCCTACATTCCCCGCTCTACTGGATGACATTACAAAGAATTCCTATGATGCAGTATGGCATATTGGTGACTTTGGATACGATCTACATTCTAACGGTGGGAAGGTGTGCATTTTAAAAAAAACATAGTTGTAGCTTTAATTCAAACATGGTACATATAAGAAAAAAATCTTTTGAGATGTCAAATTGCCTACATGTATTTGCAGGTAGGGGACGATTTTATGCGTCAGTTACAAGATATAGCAGCGAGAATTCCATACATGACAGCCCCGGGCAATCATGGTCAGTGTTTCTTAATTATTGAAATACATGAGTAATTAAATAATTCTAGGATTTAAGTATATGTACAAAGTCCATTGCAAAATAAAGGGCAGTTTTTTCTCTGTTTTGTTTACTGAAAGTCTAGCGGTGTTTTTACTGAAATTGCAAGGATTAAGATTACAAAATGATTCATTAATGGTTAATTTTCAGTCGAACCTCATTATTTCGAACTCGACTAGACCAAGCTTAAACTTCGATATATCCGAGGATTCGAGATAATGAGGGTAAAAAAGGTAAAGAAAAAGTGGTTGCTCACTTCGACATATCCCTTGTATTTAAAATATGGATGTTCGAGATAACGAAGTTGAACTGTATTTAGTTGTCACTAGACAATAAATCTGTCTTAATGAAGAAAAAGTTGTTAATTAATCTAAAGTTATGAATACTCACGTTTGTTTGTTTTCCTATTCTTTCAAAAGTGACTATATATACTATATCATCAGATAGACAAAAAATTACATTCTTTAAATATGTTATAGAATTTTAAAAAAGAATCAGTTATAAAATACTATGGTATTGTTAATTATATATCCAAGTTAAATAAAATATACGATAAAAGTTAGAGGAATATGATCAACTCGGATATCAGTTTTGGCCAGATATCTAGCTGTAGCCCATAGTTTATATGAATTTCTTGCGCGATATCATTCTTGAAGTTAAACTTCTAAAGATATACAAAATAAAATAACATTTAAGAAATGACGTTTGAAAAATTCACCCAAGTAAAATATTCCCTACTAAATGTACATTATTTTTAAAATCAAAGTTTTATGGCATTTTTTGTTTCTTAACTGACAGAAAAGTGTCAGCACAGTAATTATTGTTAACTGAAGTTTTAGAGTGGATCGCAATTGCAGTTTGAGCGTTCTTTAAAGAAACATCTGATCAAGACAATCTTAATCAGAATCTAGAATGAAATAATACTCAGGATATGCGTATTGTTGAATTAGTTCATCATGATCTAACATTGCTTTGAGAGGTTATTAGACACCGGAAAACATCATATTAGATAGTTACTTCTTAAACCGGAAGGAACAGTCTTATAATAGGAAGATGATTTCAAATTCGAAGTAGCCATTGTTTTGTGGGTTAAGGATTTATGACAGTCAAGATTGATTATTCCAGTGAGCATGTAAATGCAGTAGATTTTTAACCACCACGTTAAATCAATTCAAGTTATATTTTTAAGTTAATTATTATCAATATTTAAGCTTACATTACTCACAGATAAAACTTGACTATTATCGAGATAATCTTTGCTAGTTACCTTGAAAATGCTAAAGTAGTCAAAATATAGGAGAGCTAATTATTAAAAAGTTGAAGGAATACTAGCAAATAGCAAGTCATGTTGTAATCTGTTCCTGGAAGATTGTCTGGAGTGAAAACTTCCCAGTGTGCCTTCCGAGGCGACATTGTCAGTAATCGTCAAATATAATCTCTATACAACACGAAGAAATCCATAGCTTTAATGTAGACAAAAGTCTCCAGAATTAAACATGTGCTATCGGATAACATTATGACGAGCGCTATTTAAATTTTTTTTTTTTTTTTTGCTTTAAGTGACTTAAGGATAACTTCCATCTGTGTATCTGAAATGTGTTGTGGTGTAAAAGTCTCTACTGATCAAAAGAAATTTGAACCGTGTGGGAGAATTATTCTGGCACAAAACATTCATTAATTTTCCATTTAATATATACAATGAAAGATAAAAGTACCCATCTTCCCAAGTCAAGGGTTTCTGATCCACTCCGCTACATCAGAATCCCTTGACTTCGGAAGATGAAAAGTACCATGCCCGTTATAAACTATATGAACAGCTTTAAAAACGTAATATCAAATATATATTCACTGCTTTTGAAACCAAATAATATCTTTGTGACAGAACTGGAGAAGGACATGCATCACTACCGTGTCAGGTTCTCTATGCCGCACGCTGATTGGCCGATGCGTTACGACCGACTCTGGTACAGTGTCGACATAGGCCCCGTCCATTTTATTAGGTAAAAACATTAATAGATCTACCAACTGATTTATAATTTAATGACTATTGAGCAAGATATGCCTTAAAAAATTGGTGGAGACCATCGTATTTTGTTAAAAATTGAAGATCAAGATAATCCTTTTCTTATTTGTAACATATGTATTGAATTTATTAAACAGTCAAGGTTTGATTCTTCTTTCTGATTCATTGCTTTGCTATACTTGTTTATTCAGAAGATGTTTTTTGTGATATTAATAACAAAAAACAATCTTTTTATAATAATTTCACCCATTATTGTCTTTTCTCAAGCCCGTAGCAACAGTTTCAAAAGTGGGGAGGGGGGAGCAATTTAAAAAAAAGCAAAAAATGACCAAAAAAGTTTGCGTGTGTGCGGGGGGGGGGGGGGCTTTAACTTTAACTTCCCAAAATTATCTGACAAGAAAAAAAAACTAATTGACTATCAAAATCCTAGAATTTGCAAGTGCTCGACCTTACAGCAGAAAAAGTATGTAGGTAGGGGGGGGGGGGCAGCATCTAAAGGAAAATTAACTATAACAAAATACTATTAAATACTTAGAAAAAGGGGGCTGCCCCCACACTCATCTCGCGTTCTACGGGCCTGTTTCTAGTCAAAGTTTTGCGAAATAAATTTTGTACGCAATACGCAATATTATTTCAGCTTCGTCATTAACAAAATTGTAGATTGCTACTATGGACTTATATTGTGCAATGAAACATGTATATTTTTATTTTTCTTGATAGCTATTCAACTGAAGTCTTTTTTGTTGACAATCAAGATTATGTTTGCAAGCAATATAACTGGTTGTTAGAGGATTTGAAAAAGGCCAACCAGAATCGTCATAACAGACCCTGGGTCATTGCCATGGGCCATCGCCCAATGTACTGCTCAAACAAAAACATTGATGACTGTACTGGGCGAATCCTAGGCTACTGGGTCAAATATGGGTAAGTTCAATATTTTTAGCCAAGTTTATGTGAAGCTAGTTAATTCCTGTAGATTTATATGTTAATATCTAATAATACTGCATCTGTTTGATATTTAGTTCTTTTCTATTCTAAGGTTCATTATATTTGTTCATACTAAGCTATGGTTTATATTGGGCTCTGATGAAATCAGGCTACTATTATCTGTGGTATAACTACTAGTATGTTAGATATCAAATGTTGTATACATGACAAGCTACGCTTGTTCGCGTTCGGACTTGGGACATAAATTTTCAAGATCAAGTTCACTAGATAAGTGCCAATGGCATAAAACTTTTGCTACAACCATAATAAGGATTAATTAATTATAAGAAAACATTGCAAAGTCGTGATCATTGAATGGAAGGATATTCAGAACACTTTAGAATGCCTTTTATTGTCATTAAAGCATACATTTATCTATTCAATGAATTAAATGATATTCAAGCAACGTGTCGTCAGACCTTAAGTCAGATTGACTGTGCTGACAGTGTTAGTACAACCCAATTAAAGTCGTAGCTATCGGGGAAAATGTAGTTTCCAGTAAGCACAACCATCATCAAATTCTGTGTTAATATTACAATATAAGGAAGCAAGATATATAATAAAAACTGACATGTTGGCAATGCGCAATTATCATACAGACAAAAACTGTCAAGTCGTATCAATTTTCTGCTGTAAATTTCTGTATTTCATTTGTGTGAATTAAAGTTTTAAAATTGTTTTATAAGAGGCATTATACTTGGATTTGAGTGTCCATATACGCATGTTTTTTTTTCATGAATGTACATCCACTCCAAATAATTAGTTGCTTTTATTTTTTTTTCCATTATACAATATTACTTTGTACGGTGCAGATACAATGTAAGAATCGCGACAGGTATCTCAACCACTCGAAAGTATTAAAATTTATTTTTGGCGAAATGTGTTCCCATGAGAAAGATAGCTGTGCAGATGGGTGAACTGGAAGATTGAACTTTCTTCATTCTAAAAACTACAGAAATGTAATTCAATTGAATCTTCATTTTTCTCATTAATCAAAGTTTCCCATGGTTTGCTTTGTTATCGGAAATTATGGTTATTATCTATAATCCTAGGTTCCCGCACTTGAGGGTGTTGAGGCAAATTATTCCATTAGGCAACAATCTCATTTTTGTTCATGAATGTACGAATGCACCCGGTGAACCATCGATTTGGATTTCCGTATTTTACACATTATTTAATTTTTTATTAGATATTAACTTGATATAAATTACAGCATTCCGTAAGCCTGCAACAAGATATAAAAGTACACATACCACAAAAGCAGCAAGGAAAAATACCAAGTGCCCTAATAATAGTGTGGCGTACCGCTTCGACAGAATCTACAAAGATGTCAAAACGTTAATTAAAAATCACCTCCGTCCCTAACAACACGTTTATATTCTTTGTGTGATCATGTGAGAGAGTACTGATACAAGGTTTTCAATACAGTATCATGACCAAAGAAAGGTTCAATCGAATAATCAAAATAATATAAAAGATATATTGGATGTCACATAATTAAAGCTAAAAGACGAGATAAATCGATATGGTTAATGTAAACATCAAGTATTTTGAAATATGATTTCACTGTTAACAATAATCACTTCTGCAACTTTTCCACCATAAGTTAAACAGTTCTCCGTGAATCACGAAGATCAGAAAGGATGTTAAAGAAAGGGTTTCGTTACCCATTTAGCATTTTGGAATAAAATAGCCATTTAAAACTTTGCAGAAAATGCTTCAAGTCATAATGTCCAAACTGAATGTATTAAGGAAGGGTTATAAAGGCATAAAGAATTAACATTCATTGTCTTTAATACTTGACATTTATTGTATAAACTTCGATGTCATATCACACAACTGTAAGATAATATTTTCTAATTCTCGAATGTTTTTCCATTCAATTAGACTAGAAGATCTTTTTTATGCCCAAGGTGTGGATCTTGTTTTACAAGCGCACGAACACTCGTACGAGCGTCTTTGGCCGGTGTACGATTATGAGGTGACAGCCAAGAGTTATGTAGACCCAGAAGCACCTGTCCACGTGATATCAGGGGCCGCTGGGTGTGGGGAGAATGTGGACTATATGGGAGAACCCAGTAAGACTTTCATAACGTTATATTTGTGGATGTAAACTATATAATTGTAAAAAAGTTTCATTTCCCTCTGGTAATGAAAAAGTTCACAGAAACAGTCAACATCTGAACATGATTTTTCTTTTTGGCAAGGATGTTCAAAAATAAAAGTCCAGCATCTAGAATTTTGCCAAGAAAGACTTAATGACCAAAAACGTTGAAAAAAAATCAGAGAGTTACTGTCTAGTATTTAAAGATATACATGTAAGTTCTGTTATATAAAACCTTTCAGAGTACAATTTGAATGTGTTTTTTTTATATAACATTTTGAAAACATTTACTTTCAGAGCCTTGGTCTGCCTTTAGAGCTGATACGAGAAGTAGCCATTCCTACGGGCGATTAACGGTGGTCAACGAGACCCATCTCTTGTTCGAGCAAGTATCTGTAAACCTTAACACAACCATTGATAAATTTTGGTTGACTCAGCACCATCACGGTCCTAGGATTAAGAATTGGCAGTGTAACAATGGTTATAATAATCACCATACGTGTAACTGCCCGCTGCCTTTTCATTACGTCACTGTAGCCATATTTGCAGGAGTTTTCCTTCTTATCATTATTGCCATGAGTGTCTATTTTTGTACCAAATGTTGCCGGTGTTGCCAAACAAAAAGTTGTTTTGGGTCGAGTAAATGCTGTAGGGGTTCAAATAAATGCTGTAACTATACTACGCGCTTTTCATGGTTTCGTCAGGATAAATTGAAATCTAAGGATTCATCCGGTAGGTTAAAGTTGTTATCTGAAGATGTTGACGAAGATTTTATTATATGAAATTTATTATGCTTTTATTAGTATTTGTGTAGTATTCTCACACTGTTTTCTAATAAGCACTTTGTGATAATCATTTACATGTATATAAACATCGATATGAATTAAAACTTGTATCGGGATACTAAGCGTTTTTGTAAATCTTGTATCTGGATATTAAGCGTGTTTGTAAAGCTTGTATCGGGATATTAAGCGTGTTTGTAAAACTTGCATCGGGATATTAAGCGTGTTTGTAAAACTTGCATCGGGATACAATGTACTAAGCGTGTTTTTAAAGCTTGTTGTATCTGGATATTAAGCGTGTTTATAAAGCTTGTATCGGGATATTAAGCGTGTTTGTAAAACTTGCATCGGGATACTAAGCGCGTTTGTAAAGCTTGTTGTATCGGGATATTAATCGTGTTTGTAAAGCTTGTACTGGGATACTACATGTAAATGTATTTGTAAAGCTTGTATCAGGATATCAAGCGTGTTTGTAAAGTTGTATTGGGACAGTAAGCGTGTTTGTAAAGCTTATATCGGGATACTAAGCGTGTTTGTAAAGTTTGTATCGGGATATTAAGCGTGTTTGTGATACAAATCTAAAAGATGTTCATCTTTTTATTTTATGTTGATATTTGTATTTTTAGAGAAAACTTGTTGTTTTAGAAATGTTATGTATATGGAAAAATAGTACACTTGTCAGCAAGTTACTAACCCTAAAAGTATACATGTGATTAGATGGCTGCTATGTACAAAAGTACATGTAGATTAGTTTCCAATATCCAATTGCTATACCGCTTCTTTCAGAAGTACATGTAAAATGAACTGTATGTCCACTCTAGTAAGGACTGATCATTGTACGATTATCTTGGTCCCTTTAGAACTGGTGCTATCTTAATGACAATAGAACCATTTAGAATGATTATACACTGTATACCATCTTCTTGTCCCCAGATACTTATAGTAGTAGAAGTATTAAAACAATTGTAGTATGTTATCAATTACACACTATACATGTATATATTTAAAATAATATAGTATAGAATGATATAGATATCTTTGGACTATATATTATACCGTTTTGTTGCCTTTGCTAGTATGGTATCTTGCCTTTGTTAGTTTGGCATGATACTATGCAATGGCTTTGCTACTATGGTATTTTCGTACGATCTTTTCCCCTTTGCTAGTATGAAATGATCATACTATTTCATTACCTTTAATTTGTAGTATGGAATGATCATTCTATCTTATTACCCTTTGCTAGTATGGAATGATTGATCTACTCTATTGCCCTTTGCCAGTATTGATTGAATGATCAATCTGCTGGTATGAAATTATTATATCTTATTGCCCTTTGCAAGTATGGAATGTCTATTGAATCTTGTTACCTTTTTTTTAGTATATTGTACTTATATGGAATGATTGTATTGTACATTTTTTAGTGTGGAGTGATTTTTATTGTATACATAGTCCTAACATTTAGTTAAGTATATTTATTTCTGTTACTTAAATAGATAAATTATTTTTATTTAATAACTTAAGTATCAAACTCCATTTTATCAGACATGTCCTGCATACGTTTACGTTGTATCCTCACAAAGAAAATATGTATACTTTTCAGCTTGTCCAAAATATACACCTTCTGTACTTTTTCAAACATTTACAATCCAAAATATTATTGACTGTAATCATATCTCTAAACTTGAATTATCATTATAATATGGTAGTTCGGGTCATGGATTCAAATATTTGACGCAGTACATGCATATAAAGCGGAAACAAAGGGTTTTATTTAAACACCGTTATATACGTAACTTTTGTTAATATTTCTTAAATGGTACTTCTCTGTATTTTACTTGTCTTTTCTTGTTTCTTTTTCTACAATGTTTGTTTAAAAAATTTGTATTATATATTATACTTTTCGTGTGTATTCACCTTGACCTTGATGTAGGGAGAGAGCCAATATAGGCTATATATGCCTGCTGCCCTATTCACTTTTCTGTGAGAAAATTATGTATAAATAAGAAAAAAAGTAAAAAAAATATATCGTTTAAAAAAAATACATGCCTCATTAATTCTCTCCTGAATGCAAAAGACTGAGTATAATTATGTAGCAACAATGGTCACTGTGGGTAATTAAATCTCTGATGGAATATATTATCTGTATCAAACAACGAAGATTAATGTGCAGTACATGGTTTTTGTCTTCATTATCAGAAAGTTGTACTCAACAGCAGACAAAAGTGTAAACGCAGGTGAGAGCTGAGAGAGTGTAATTTTACCTTGAGAGTGTAATTAGATATTGACTTTACTGACTGCACATCATAAATACTCTCATTGTTCGTGAATAGTGTATATTTTGATATTCTAGCTTTGTTAAAGTTCTACCAAGAATTTATTTTGTTACTTTTATAATAAAAACAATTTGCCAAACCATTAAGTTATTAAGTTGTTCCTGTATAATCTTTAAATTTTTAGATCTACTTGTACACAAGTAGACTACACTGTGTATCGGTTCTTTATTTCGATGAACGGTGTTGCCATGGTTACTAAAAAATAGAATTTTCTGTGAAATTCTTTCAAAATGCTACTCCTCCTACAGCTTTAGTCCAATTTCAATATAACTTGGTACACAAGTAGACTACACTAAGATACATAATTCTGTGCATTGTTTTTTTTTTATTTCTCTGAAAGGATTGCCATTCTTTCTCAAAATATATATTTCTGTGAAATTCTTTCAAAATGCCACTCCTCCTACAGTTTTCATCCAATTTTAATATAACTTGGTACACGAGTAGTCTACACTAAGCAACATATTTCTTTGTATCGTTTTTTGATTTCGATGAACGATGTTGCTAAGGTTACTAAAAATAGAAATTTCTGTGAAATTCTTTCAAAATGCTTCACCTCATACTGTTTTAATCTCATTACAATATAACTTGGTACAAAAGTAAACTACACCAAAATACATAATTCTCTGAAATTCTTTCAAAACGCTACTCCTCCTATAGTTTCAGTCCGATTTCTGAATAACTTGGTACACATTATTAAATTACATAATTCTGTGTACTGGTTTTTGATTTTGTTAAAGTGTTGCCATGGTTCTCTTAGTCTTTGAAGATTATATAATGTACAAATATACAGTTTTTGTACCATTTTCATTTATCTATTATTTAAAAGTCTTCCTAAACTTTAAATCTATGAAAAATACTTTTGTATTAAATATTATAAAATTTCTTGTATAATTCTTTAATTCAATTGACCTTTTCAATCACATTATGTACAGTGATAAACTATCATAGGCGAATAACAAAGGGGAATAACTTCTTTTAGTAGAAATTAAAAAATTGACCAAAGGGTACAGAATTTCAAAATCTGGTAATTACACCCTTGCTTATTACAACTTTATATACTCTGTTTGCCTCCTAGGTGCCCAGGAGCAGAAAAGATTTTCAAAGATATAATCGTTTTTCACTATATATTGAATATAGCCCCACCCTAATTCTTATACCAGAGCCCCTGGCCAAGATATTCACAATTTTGGAAGAGGCACCCTTGCTCATCATAACCATGCACTTAGTAGTATGTTTCTTTAATAACAATGGACAGAGAAGAAGATTTTCAAAAAAAATGCATTTCTACTATATATATTCAAAAGAGCCTCACCTTAAGGTAAAGATCTAGTAAATGAAAGGTGCCTACAGATTTCTCAAATTTGAGAAATAAATTCCTTTAATGATGCTTTATAATATAGCTCAGTCAAATAAGATGTTTCGGGGCATAATTTGTGGGTAAACAAGATGAAAAATCATATTTTAACTGTCATTTTCAATGAAAAATTAAGCAAAACAGTCATGAATATGGGAGTTTTTTCCATATCAGACAAAATAAATGTATCCAGATTGCCTACAGTCTCTCAGAAAACGGTAATTTATATGTTCTCGGCCTCTTCTTTAAAATAATATCAAATTTAATATAGGTATCGGGATTACTTTTCATAAGATTTCAAGTTGAATTCCATGAAAATACCTTATTTTCTACATAATTCTATTAGAGCCATAAAGTACGGGAAAAAGAAAGTTAAAATTGATTATGACGTCATAATGGATCTAGCACCAAAAAGTTAGTCTAAAGTCATTTACTAGATCTTGACCTTAATACCACAATCCCTGACCCCGGGGTTATGACTTTCAAATTTTCTGAAAAGACATCCTTGCTCATCACAACCATGTAATTAGTTTTTCTGCTAAATAACCAGGGGCAGAGAAGATTTTCAAAATAAAAAAAAATGCATTTCAATTATATATTCAATAGACCAAACACTCCCACATGAACCCCCGACCCTGGGGCCACAACTTTCACAATTTTGGAAGAGCCATCTTCGATCATCATAACCATGCACCTAGTTTATCTGCTAAATACCCATGGGCAATTTCACTAGATAATCAAAAGAGCCCTGCCCTCACATCAGAACCCCTGACCCAGGGGCCAAAATATTCACAATTTTGGAAGAGGGGCCCTTGCTCATCATAACTATAGACTTGCTTTATCTGTTAAATACCTAAGAGCAGAGAAGAAGATTTTCAAAAAAATATGCCCTTTCACTATGTATTCAATAGAGCCTCCCATTCATGCAATACCCCTCATCCTGGGGCAACAGATTTTACAATTTTGGAAGAGGCACATTTGATCATCATAACCATACACCTACATTATCTGCTTTATATACAGGGGGAGAGAAGAAGATTTTTAAAGAATTTAAGCATTTTCACTATGTAATCAATAGAGCCCCACCCTAACACCAGAATTCCTGACCCAGGGGCCAAGATATTCACCATTTTAGAAGAGGGGTCCTGCTCATTATAATTATAAACTCGATTTATCTGCTTAATACATAGGAGCAAAGAAGAAGATTTTCAAAGAAATATGCACTGTCAATATACAATCAATGGAGCCCCCTCCTCACCCTGGAGCCACAAATTTCAAAATTTTGGAAGAGGCACCCTTGATCATCATAACCATACACCTACGTAGTTTATATAGAGGGGGAGAGA